ACAACTAATATATATAGGTATATAAATCTCTTTCGGATATATTCGGGTACCCGAAATACTTCGGTTTGGGTCGGGTTTGGTTTCGGTTCTTTAAATACCAAAATTTTGAACCCATTCGGATATTGAATCAATTTCGGTTCGGATTCGATACTACTTTTTCGGATCGGGTTCGGTTCGGTTCTTCGGATCCGGGTTTTTTTGCCCAGCCCAATTCTAAATCATGTAAGTCCACTCCTACGATTATTTATGATTTTTATATATGCTTGTTAGGTTGTTAGAACTGGTAGATGTTAGGGATTGAAATGTATTAGGTTGTTAAATTTATGTTAGGATTGTTAAATATGTGTGTTAGAATTGTGGGAAAATTTCAATTCTACCACAAGTTTGATACCACTTTTTAAATTTACTATGAATGAATGACTATATTCATTTGTGATGAAATAACACTAAGCTATATTCAGTATTTTTTCGTTTATGATTTGTATTTGTATTTTTGATATGCTTTTATGTCATGTTTATTTAAATTTGTATTTATGCTTTTCTTTCATGTTTGTTTAAAATTTTTAATAATAAATTTGTATTTCTATTTTTAATATGTTTTACGTCATATTTGTTTAAATTTTATGAAATCCAATAATTTATAAGTTTTGTAAATTTTAAATTTAATATTCAACTTCTAAAATAATTAAAAAGTAAAAAATTAACAATTAAACTGATCATTAGAACACATCATGACATACTCTAATGATGCTCTAGTATCATCTATATTCAGATAATTTTATTTTTTTTTGTTAATTTTCTTTAATTTATGATTTTTTTTTTGATATTAAGATATCCACATGATTTTTTTCCTTATTGGACATAATCTTGGTCACAAGACAAGAATAAAAAATCTAATAATATAACTTGCCTTTTGGCTTGATAAATGATTTTGTCAGCCTTAAGTAATAAAAGATTCTCCTTTCTATTTGATTGACTTTTGTCAGCAAATAAGATAAGCCAATAGATTTTGTATCATCTCCAACCCTCCACGTGGATGTGTACCTAGACTGCCTACATAAAGTAATCAAAGGAACTCAGAAGAAGAAAATCCTAAAATAAGACTCCGCCGATGATGATGCTGAATCAAACAGCGAAGAAGACTTTTCTAGGACTACGGAATTCGACGGCGGGGTGTCGATTCTACCACGAGAATGTTATAGATCACTTTGAAAACCCTAGAAACGTTGGGTCCTTCAAGAGGGAGGATCCCAACGTTGGCACAGGACTGGTTGGAACACCTGCATGCGGTGACTTGATGGCCCTCCAGATTAAGGTCGATGAGTCCGGTCACATCACTGACGCTCGATTTAAAACCTTTGGCTGTGGTGCCGCCATCGCCGCTTCTTCCGTCGGTATGCTTTTATCATTGAGCAGATTTGCTTCTATTTTTTTTTTTTAAACTCAGATATTTCCTTATATTTCTTTTTCAGCTTCTGAATGGATCAAGGGCAAAACAATATTTGAAGTTGTGACCATTAAGAACTCGTAAGTGCCCTTCTAGACCTTGACAATACTCTACCGTAGATCTGTTTCTGTTACTGGAATCCAGTCTAGCTAGTGATATGATATTTAGTTTTAAGCTTTGATCTAATGTATGATGATGATGACATGATAGATTCATTGTTTTGAATTTCTCAATATTACTAGTTTGTGCTCTAATTTTCCAGGGCAATTGCAAAGCATCTTCGCTTGCCTCCTGTCAAGCAGCATTGCAGTATGCTTGCTGAGGATGCTATCAAGTCCGCCGTCCAAAACTACAAAGAGAAGAAAGTGATTGCGGATGCGGCCGTGGCTTGAGGGTTTATAGTTTTTTACATTTTAAAAGGACTGGTGTGTCTAATGTTTATTAACTACTGAAAACTGGCATGTNATCTGAGTATAAATTTAATGTTATATGAATAAAAGTATCTTCATTTTAAACATTTTTAAGATTATGAACCTCTTAAAATCATTTGTATACTATCTGGGGATATTGTCTATCTATTTGTTTTTTGTTTTTAAAACCCAAACCCATCGGTAATCCGTTAACATTTTTGTCGGATTTCCAATGGAATTGGGGTTTCAGTGTGTTGATTGACTAATCACACAATATGCAATTTTTTCAACATTTTCTGACAAATTAGGCATATTTTTATCTCGAAAGTGATCAACCAGCCAATTAAATTAATTTAATAAATTTTACCTATGAATAATCCATATTTATTGAAAATGACCCAAGAAAATGTATTGCCTAAAAGCTCATGAACAGGCTAATAATATAACTACCCCAAATTACCGACAAAACATATTCATCAGTAGTTTTAGTATACGAACTTGTGTTTCTTCTTCTTCCTCATTATGCCTCTCCTCGGTCTCTGAATTCTTCAAAATCTTTCTCTCCTCCAAAGAGAACATGTGAACCCTCTCCTCTTCTCCTTCTAAATTAGGGGTGGGCGTTCGGGTACCCATTCGGGTTCGGTTCCGATCTATTTGGGTTTTGGATTTTCGGGTTCACATATTTTAGCCCCATTCGGATATTTCTAAATTTCGGTTCGGGTTCGGTTCGGATCTTTGCGGGTTCGGTTCGGGTTCGGATAACCTATTTAAATTATTTTTAAAATTTTAAAATTGATTATATACTTTACATTTCTAAAAATATATAAAGAAAATAACATATTACAAATAATTGAATAACATAAGTCAAAATGCCTAAAATTAACATATAAATTAGTTTGATTTGAATATTTGGATTGTGAATCAATAATTTTTTAAAGTATTTTTGATGTTTTAAGTGTACTATAGTAGTGAATGTTTTTTATATATACATTAAATCTAAAAATAACTAATATATATAGGTATATAAATCTCTTTCGGATATATTCGGGTACCCGAAATACTTCGGTTTGGGTCGGGTTCGGTTTCGGTTCTTTAAATACCAAAATTTTGAACCCATTCGGATATTGAATCAATTTCGGTTCGGATTCGATACTACTTTTTCGGATCGGGTTCGGTTCGGTTCTTCGGATCCGGGTATTTTGCCAAGCCCTAATGCTTCCTCTCAGCAAGTCCATTTTGCTGAGGAGTATGCGGACACGAGAGTTGTTGTTTGATTCCATTTTCTTGCAATTGAGAGAGAGAGAGACAGAACTGGTAAACTCGCCACCACCATCACATTGATAGGTACCAATTCTGATACGTAGTTGATTCTCTACTAATGCTTGAAATTTGCAAAAGATTGAAAAGAAATCTGACTTGTATTTCATAGTGTAAATCCAACAAAACTGTGACCAGTGATCAATAAAGATTACATAAAATCTGAAACCCTGAACCGAAGTAGTTGGTGCAGGTCCCCAGAGATCACAGTGAATCTTCTCTAAAGGCCGCTTTGCAACAAAGGTAGAAGCTTGAAAAGGTAAACTACTGCTCTTCTCAAGTTGACACGATTAACACATCTTCTTGGTACTTGAACTTATTTTGATAAGGTTTTGTGCAGACATATGTTGAAGAACTTGCTGATGTGGATGCCCAAGCCGCTTATGCCAAACAGCGTCTGTAGCAGTGTGTTGTCTAGAGGAGTATAGAGCATTTATTGCTGGCATGTTCTTCACTCTGTAGAAACCATTATCCTTTCTGCCCCGGATGAGAACCCACTTTGTGTTCTTGTCCTTTATAGATACCCCAAAATCATCAAATTTCACAGAACAAGGATAATCATTGGTGACCTTGGATACCGAAAGTAAAGATTTTGCAATCTGAGGACACATAATAACATCTTTGAGAGGGAGATTACCTGAGGAAGAAGCAATAGTAGTGGAACCTGTGTGAGTGATAGGTAAGTAGCTTCCATCACCTATCATAACACTGTCGGATCCTTGATATTGTTGTGACTGGTGGAGTTTGTGATATGGGCAGAAGCAGTGGAATCAGGATACCACTCAGAACCGGCATCATCCGTGACATCAGTGATTCACATAGCCGCAAGTGCTTGTGGAACATCTTCAAGTTGATAACTGTTGTCGAAGCGGTGATAGCATTTCAGAGCAGAATGTCCACCACGGCCACAGATCTGACAGACCACACGTGTATCACCATCAGAAGAAATCTGTTAAATGAAGCCTCTTCCTCTAGTAGAGTATGAGCCACGAACTCTTCCTCGGCGACCACCATGACCACGAGAGGAGTAACCCTGCTGATTCGTACGAACATACACAAAAGCAAGATGAGGAGTAACCTCTCCGCCACTGGTGTAGCTTTTGAGTCTGTCATCGAATGCTACTAAGCGTGGAATAATAGAGTCGAACGTTGGAGGTGGGACAGTGTCAATGGAACCTTCAATAGCTGTCTTGATAGGCTCATAATCACGTCCCAGACCACGAAGAGCCAAAAAAATCTTCATTGCTTCAATAAGAGGAGCACCTATAGAGACAAGTTGATCACTGAGAGATTTGACTTCTTGAAGAAAATCAAACATCTTTTTATCAGTTTTTGATAAAGTTTGCATCTTGTGTTGCAGCTCAAACATGCGCGAGTTTGATGGTCTGTTGAAGTGGGTCTCGAGCGTGGACCAGATCTCGTGAGCTGTCGAGCAGTTCACCACCAAAGATTGAAGAGAATCTGTGATAGATCCAAGGAGCCACGATTGAATGACCTGATCTGTCTGGAACCAAAGCTCATGGTCGGGATTGGGAACCGGTGTGGAAGTGCCATTGATGGTAGGTGCCATGATGGTAGCCACTGGCTGAGCATGATGACCGGTAACAAACCCGAACAAGCGTTGGCCACTGAGAAAAGACTGAAACTGACGTTTCCAGAAGAAAAAGTTTTGCTCATTGAGCTTTACTGTGACACAGTGAATGATGTTTAGGCGAGGAGGTTCATAAGGCTCAAGATCCATGGTAGCAACGTGTGCTCTGATACCATGAACGCAAGACCGCAAAGATAAGTTTTCTGAACTTTTATCTTATTATTTTTGGATAATCGTTTCTTACATCATGAGTGTTACATTTATAGTAAAGTGAGAATAGGGTTTTGCCATTAGGCTTTTTCGTCTTGTAGTGCTACATAACGGTTTTGAATTGTGACAGCCTGGGATTGATGAGCTGTCTTGTCCTCTCTCCTCTGATTTTCGTAAGCTGCTTTTTTTCTAACCTTTGTTTTGTCTTGTGTGCAGGAAGAAGACTGTTGCTGACTAAGTACAAAACATTGCGTTTTGGTCTTCAACGAACTGGGCCTCAGATTTTGGTTGATGGGCTTTTCAGAAGTTGGGCTTGAGCCACTTGTGTCAATACGAACAAGGGAAAGAGAACTTTATCTCTCTACAGAGAAGAGAGAGAAGAGAGTTTTTTCTAATTTCCTTCACGTTTTTATCTAATTTGGTATCTTTTGATCAGAAACAAAAAAAAAAACAAAATCTAATTTGGTATTTTTTCTTCTCATCATAACGACGTCGTCTTTGATAATTTCATTCTTAATTCCTCTCTCTTCCAAAACAGCAGAAAATTTAGGTGTCGTCTTCATTCTCTCTCTCTCTTGTTCTCTTCTTTCTTTCTATCAAAAATCTTCAACCCTTTAGCCTCTCTGATCGTTTCCAATCTCCAAAAGGTCTCGTTATTACCGTTTCAGATTCTATTGGTACGTTAAATTCTATCTTTTCGTTTTTATAATGTTTTTCGAAATTCGATGAACTGAAAAGCTTCCTCTTGTTTTTTTTATGACAGGGACTTGTAAATAACAAAAAGAAAAAGACTTTGTGTTTCAGTAATCGATTTTTCAGATGGGAAGCTGTGTCTCTAAGGTACGACATGAAAACCCTTTGGTTTGGTTCTTTCTTTGCTTCTTGTCGCATGAATAAATAATTTGATTTTTATTTGTTCTTTTATTATGATGCGATGGTACGTAGGGCAAAGACGATGATGATTCAGTCCATAACGTTGATTTTGCCGGTGGCAATGTTCATCTCATCACAACAAAAGAAAGCTGGGATGAGAAATTAGCAGAAGCTGACCGTGATGGCAAAATAGTAAATTTTGCCCTTTCATAATCCTCTCAGTATGTAGTGTGTTTGTGTTTTTTTCTAAATTCTTATAAACCATATCAAAAATCAGGTTATTGCAAACTTCAGCGCGACTTGGTGTGGGCCTTGTAAGGTCGTGGCACCGTTTTACATCGAGCTCTCTGAGAAACATCCTTCTATCATGTTCCTTCTTGTTGATGTTGATGAACTCTGCGTAAGTTACCCACCATAGATTCTCTTTCTTTACATAATCTTCAACTAAATCTTAAAATTTTTGTTTTATTTTTGTGACATGTGCAGGATTTTAGCTCATCATGGGACATAAAGGCAACACCAACCTTCTTTTTCTTAAAGAATGGTCAGCAAATAGGGAAGCTTGTGGGAGCTAACAAGCCTGAGCTACAGAAGAAGGTCACTTCCATCATTGACTCTGTACCTGAAAGTCCACATCGGCCTTGAAGCATATCCTTGTGCACTTTCTTTCACGGTGGAAATGTGTTTTGAAAAAGTCTTTGTGTTCTGATCAACGGATGTAAAATATGTGAAAGATTGTCATGAATCTTACTTCGATATTATTATTTTTGAAGCGTCTCTATCTAAAGGTCAAATGTTTGTTACTCTGGTTCAATAGTTTAATCATTTGTTCCCCCATCAAAACAATTCCTTCACTCTTAAGTTAACAAAATCAAATATTCAATAGGTTTTATGTTTCAGACTCTTGCACGGTTGCACGTATTATTCCTTAACTAGATCGTTTAAAATAAGGACCTTTTTTTTTTAAAGAATAAACCAACAAACATGCTTTAGAAGAAGTGACCAAAAGGGTTTAACAAGTATAAAAGTGTTGAAGTTGTCAAAAAAAAAGATGCATAAGAGTATTGAATTTATGTTGTTTGAATATGCTGTATATAGGTTTACTTCATGACCTTATTTTTTACCTGCTAGTTCAGATCGCAGTGGAATTTTAGCTAGTAACAAAACATAACGAATGTTTTCACATTTGGCCGAAATTATAATTCATTTTGATAATCGTATGTTGGAGTGTGGATGTAAGTAAGAATATATATTTTGGTCTGATATCTTAGCATGTTGATAATTTTTATTAGAACCTTGAAGAACATAGAGGTGAAGATACATCAACCGATCAACATAGTTACTACCAAGCCATATGTCTTAAGTTCTTGTAGTAGTAGTAGCTTCCTTTAGGATCTTCTGCTTATCTCAGTGGATACTGTAAATATAAAGACACAAGTGTTTTGAGATTTTTCTTCATGTCCTAATAAATCATTTTACAGATGTGATTTTTTTTACCTGTTGCAGTTGGTGGAAGGGCTGATCCTGAAAGGAAGATTAACACCACACTTAGCAGGCAAAGACTGAGCATTGTTGAGGTTACTAGAAGAGTAGGAGACTCCTCCAATAGCATTTTTGATGCAACGGCACACACTCTGACGATCCACAGTAGATTGAGCCTGACTGTTGAGCGATCTAACACCGTTGCAGCAGTTAGCTGGTGGGACGTTTCCGCCTTGCATCACGTATGAGAGACAAGGGTAAAGATCTCCAACGACCGTGTTGCAAGTCACAGCTGCTTCACCATGGTGAAAAGAAAGAGCTAGGAACAAGGCTAGTAGGAAGAGAGATCTCATGTTATTATCTGTTGTTTTTTTTTGGGTCTTGTTGGTTTTGTGTTTGTGTACTTTGGTTAATGAATTGAGAGGTTATATATAGAGATGGAGAAGGGTTTTGGCGTTGGTAGTTGAGGAGGAGTGATTGCTAGGATAAGAATTAGTTGTGGATGAATTTATTGTCTACCTTCGACCCATTAAGACCCAACCCTCCTGATTCAATTGCATTTAATCTAACAATTCTGTAGATATTGTGTTATCACTACACTGTAGTTGTGAAACTCAAGACGGATGGCAGACGAAATGTAACAACAAAAAATATAGAACTAATTCGTCTCCAAATCCATGTTAGTAATTAAAATGATTAGCAGCTAAGTGCCACTCTTTGCCAAACGGTGAGAATATAAAAGTAAAAAAAAATATAGTATATATAAGGTAATATATATTTTTAATATATTGTGAGAAATCCATAACATCAAAAGACAGAGGAAGTATAATGTTTTAATGTAATGTTTTTGATCAGCTTGAAATGTTGATATGATCCATCACCGGCACTGAGCCTCACCAGCCAGGTTTATATGTTACATAACACATAACGTGTGATTTTTCATCGCAATAAAAGATTTAGAATTGCTCGTGTATGAGTTTTGGTGAAGGAGTAGTAGTATAACGTATTATGTCAGTAAATAGCGACAATATATGATTAATAATGGGGCAGTGGATTTTGATAATTGAGTTAGATCGCAGTGTATTAAAGTCCAGAGAAAGAGCGTGGGGCTTCGTACGTGTTTGCCGTTGGAAGTAATTAAGATAGCACACAAAGATGGCGGTGCACGAGATGTGGCGCGTATTGATTGATTTGCTAAGAAACACCGGTTTGTTCGGTTTACTACAACAATATCTATTTGTACCTTACGTAGTGGTCCCAAAACTTGGCCTAGCCATGTTCGATTCAACCAATCTTTAACCATAACCTGTTTTAGAAGAAAAGTACCATTACATTAATTCCGATTCCGACTTCCACATAACTTGTATATATATAAATAGTCAAGTAGACAAAAAACAATGTACCCTTTCACCTCTAGGGAAATTCAATGTGAAAGTTACTCAAACTCTCTCTCTGTAGCAAGATGGAGCAATACACGAAAGAATTGAGGAGGGTACATTGGTGGCTGCTCTGCTAATGCCTATAAGTTTCCAGTCACAAAACAAAAAATGTATCAATGTATCATGAGAGTTTTTACGTACATACAGATGTAAAGACCAAAACAAGGATTTGAAAAACATATATGAGTGCATAAGTTCACCTGTTGGATTAATACAGTGGAAGGAGTCATTCCGGGAACTGTGTTCACCTCTATAACCAGTACCTGCACAGAGAGAAAGTCGATTTTTGGATTGAGGTATGAGGGTAAACATTAGTCAAATGCAGTGGGTCGTATAGTACCTCTCCGGTTTCAACGTGCACAAAAGCATCGATACGTGAAAACCCCTCTAGACCAAGAGTTTCCGCAATCAGCTCAATGCCTTGTTTGCATCTTTTCAAAGCGTCCTTACTGAAAAATCACACAACTCATCAGGTTCAATATACAGATTTAATCTTATTATTAAAAAGTAAAGTCTTGTACCAAACCTCATGATTGTTGGTGGAGGTGGAGTAAGGTTGATGCCTGTTCCGCCTAATAAAGAGATAGATTACATATGCCATCGTAAAGACGAATACTCTCATAAAAATACATGAAGTAGTAAAGAAAGTCAGGTGAGAGTACCTTGGAACTTCTCCTCGAGCGATAATATATCACCACTTTCCTTGACAGTAAGACTAGGATTCAGTGAACGCATTGACCCACGCTTTCCGATTACTCCCACTGTTATCTCTACCCACCGCCTCGTACCTTTCCAAGAGAGCTGCTGTTTGGCTTTGGATGAAACTATGATTTCATCGGTCTCAACAAATGGTTCGAAAATCAAGAACTCGGGAGTAATATTTGGCATCTCAATCATTCCATGTGTCTACAAACAAGTGGGGATATTGATCATCAGTGACGGCCTTAAGGTTGTCCTAATAGAATGAGTATTTGTTTTTACCTTAGATAAAGTGTTTGGAGGAATCCTTGGTAGACAGTCTTTTAAAGCTTGTACATATACAGCAAGGTCTTCAGCAGAACTGTACATATACAAATGCTTCAAATTAAGAAATTGGAATCTTGAATATGAATGGCAAAAGCTTTTGAATACGAATTACCATAATCTTGCAACACCAGTGGAGCATCCATCCCTTGCTGGTTTAACACAGAATGTCAGACACCGAAGCTTGGTGATCAATTCATCCCAGATGTTTGAGATGGTCTCATGCATTATATCCTCTGTTCTCTTCACATCTTTGCTTATGGTATGAACTCCAAACTCTGAAAGCTGTTGATTGCGAGAAACCCAAAATAAATGTAATTGGTTATACTAAACCGAATACTACTCTTGTCTTTTAACATATTGGCTTGAAGAGTATAATGACTTGTAACCGTACGTACATGACTAAGGGCCTGAGATGTCATAACCTTGTCCATGCAAGTCCTTGAAGCTAGTACGCCTGGACCTTTTTCAAGAACGGAAGAGGAATATTAAACAACCAGGCGAACACATTTCATGTGGACAATTTAAGATAAAATTTAGTCTTCTACCATTAGTTGCAACGAACCTGTGTAAGCAACACCTTCATCCTCCAGTAAGGCCTGCAGCGTACCATCTTCTCCAATTCCTCCATGCACTGTCGCATTGCGTTTGAAAATTATTATCACAAAAACATTGAATATGGTACGCTGCAGGCATAGTGCTTCCGGAGGGTATCAACACTGCCCCAACAAAAAATGTATCACCCTCCCAACTTTTGTTTTTGTTCTTGCCATTTTTCCAGTATTCCTTTTTACTTAATTTGTTGGTAGCATTTCTCTCACTAAATTATTATTTTCTAATGTTAATACTTAATAAAAAGTAAGAAACTGCAGTCTCTCGGTTTTTACACTGACCTGCAATGAAGACGGTTGCTTGAGCTTCGCTGGCAAGCTTGATCCACTCTCTCAATGAAAATTTCATTGGCAGTTCGTCTGTTATATCAAACCCTCCGAACCAGCTTTGATTCTTCAAACCATCCATAAGATCCTCCATTACTTGCTTTTGCAGCAGAGATGTAAAGAGAGCCCGATCAGGCTCGATTCCTTCCAAGCACTCCGCAAGAATTTCCTCAGCAGTGTGCCTTAACACAACAGAGTACCTGAGAAGAAATAAAATCACTAGCCATGTGGAAGGATAAGGCATATTAACTTGAGAAAAGGAAACGTTAAAATAGTGCGGTATTGTATTTGAGGTCAACATTGTTGTATCTATCTGCACACAACTACTGTATTATTTCTACTTGGAGTCCAAAAATATACTTACGGTAATAACCAGACTTCTCTGTTGTCCAAATCAGATTCGGTTTTGTCCGGAAATGCACCAGATGAGTTGGTAAGTGATGGGGAAAGCAAGCAGGGAGTTACTTTGAGCTGCAAAAAAAAACAAGATCACCAGATTAACGACAATTCTAACTGGTAGTGATGATTCGTAAGATGCATGATTACACCTTAATGACACAATGATCCACTGTTTTCAACTTACATCAATAAATCTTTGCAGATTCATCCAGACATTTGTTCCACTCATGACAGAGACCTGCCGCTCTGAAGTGTCTCCTCCAAATATTACAAACACTTTCTGGACGTCCCCAGAGGTTTTCAGGGTTGTTGAACCTCGAAGCAAATGACTAGACTCATAACTACAAGTAAGATGGGGAAGCCTTGAGCTAGCTCGGTGGAGGATGGTTCGCAAAATTTTTGAATGAGAAAACCCAACCTGAGAAGTAAGAACTAATCATCTAAACAGAATCGAGCCATGAATTGTATGGTAATACTAACATCTGACCTGAATGCTCAAATAACCTGACCTAGGCATGCATGAGAGAAAGTAGGAATAGATGAACAATAGACTGCAGCTTAAATTTCTAGGAAGATTAAAATGACGGTGCAAATCATGTTATTTTTATCAGCCTTTGACTGTACTAAGGAGTTGGGAAGAAAAGGTTACAATCACAAACAATTCACATAATATGAGAAAACGAGTTTAACGTAGTAGGGGGACAGTTGGAAGCACATCGTTAGCATAACCATCAATGTTACCCCTATCTTTAATTACCTTAGAAGCCTGCTGGAAGAGAAAGCTATTTTGCTCCATGCCACTTATCTGCAAATGTATACGAGTGCTACTTATAAGAACAATGCAGTGTACAAGAGTGTCTGGGGGTAAGGCATGCAATAGGCTAACCAGGTTGATGTCTGTGAATATAATATTCCCTGACTTGCGTCCTCTAGACGTTTCTGACGATGAAGATATATTTGAAGTGGGAGCCAAATACCATCCATCAATGCGAGCAAAGTCGCGAAGACCTAGCTTTTGAAAAAGAAGGGATGCCTCTTCACGGATACTTTTGATAACATGGATAGGGAAACAAGGTGGAGTGTGATAGGTGACCTGTTTATTTTTTAATAAACACATTGTGAGAGAAAAGAAAGCTACTGAAATTTGGAAATCTAGAAACCAATTTACAGCTAAGAAAAAGAATGTTTGGCATTTTGGAATACAAAATAAAGACTTTAAAAGTACGGAAGAAATCAATGTGTTCCAGACACGCCTTTCATAATGGGTAATGGAAATTGCAAAAATTGTGTTTCTTTCAGTACCTGCTGTGTCGGCAGATACTTCCTCCGATAGTCGAAGATGGCGTCTTCTTCCGGATCACCACTGCCATGGAACTGAAGTTGCACCTAACCAGATAAGCATTTGGATACGTAACATGATTAACATGATTCATGTCAAAGGGGTATAAAGAGATCTGGCACAAGCTCTGAACCCGTGAAACTTAGGGCATCCACATCAATGAACCCCAAGATTGAATCATTTTTTTATTATTAAAAATTTTATGTTTTCTTTTTGATTTTTTAAAAAAAAACAAAAAATAAAAAAAAAATCTAGATCAATCCCGAGCCGCCACGTGTTGAACCTCAGGAGAGAGGGGTTCACCGCAGTGAACTTTAGGACAGAGGGGTTCATAGATTTTTATTATTTTATTAGTTTTTTTTTTTGATTTCCGTGTGAACTCCCCCCCCCATGAACCTTCAATGGGGGTGCTCTTAGAAAACAACTGAAAACGTGATTACCTCAGAGGGCAACAGCACAACAGGATGGCAATCAGAACCAGAACCCACATCCAAGACGATGGCAGTGAACTCATGTCCATTGTTAATAAACACCTCAACAACAACCCTATCATCAATACCCTGTAAAACAACAGAAGAAAATAAACAAAACTGGCCGTAAAGATATCCCTGAAAATATATTTGATTTCTCTCACTTCCAAGTTCCTATCCAAATTGTCCAAGCTTCAGAACAACGTATACCTCTAAAATAAGTTCAACAGCCTTCTTGATTGAATCCTTTACCCCAAAAGCAACCTTGACACCAATGCTGGATCCTGCTCTAGCAGGTTTTACCTTAAACAAACAGACGGGTAGAGAAAGACAAAACAAATGAAGAGGATATGGGGTCTCTGGGCAACATTCTCTGTGACCAGTCTGAGAAATAGCCGGATGCTTACCACGACTTTTCCCACCTCAAGGTCCAGCCGGTTATCTGTAAACCATTGTGCCATTCCACTTTCGTATACTTCGGTTCCCTATTAATAAGAAAGACATCACTAGCTATAACGACGAGTAGAATTGTCTATGCTTATTACGGTAGAAATTGAATGCAGATAAAGAGATAATATACACTACCTGCACCAAGTAGTTTGGTACTGACATGAACCCATGTTTTTTAAGCTCCAAAGAGGCTTCAAACTAGAATTAGTTCACTGGAAAGAGTCAGACCTATACTACTCGACCTCAAGGTTAATATCTGATAACCAACCCGTTGATCCAGAACATAGTATTTACCTTGTCAAAGGCTCGACGGCATTCACTGGATCCGGTCCCAACAAATGGAATGTTGCGACTCTCTAACAGCTCCTGCATAGTAATAATCAATTCTGTTAAGGTTTCTGTAACATTTAAGCAGGACACCCAAAATTTACAAAAACAAAAGGACCTGAATGCCCCCATCTTCACCAAACCGACCATGAATAACAGGGAAGACAATGTCCACAGCGGAAACAAGATGCTCGGCGAAGTCTGATAATGAAGAGAATCCCTGTGCAAGACTATACAGCACGAAACAAACGTTGTAATGGCAGCTAATATTTTTCTCCATGACTGAGTATAAGAATCTTCTTATATACCTCACCTCTCGAGCTTGAAATCAAAATCTGCCGGAGTATTCGAGTACAGCTGAAATTCATTTTCACAATGATACGGAATCAAAGATAGATACAGCAGAAACATTGTGGAAAAACATCTATACAAGGCAAGGCAGCAGCAAAACCTGAGCGGAGGAAATTGCGAAAGCTTTGAGATGAGCATCTATGTAGTAGCAGCTCACGCTTATACCGTTACCCTGAGGACAATCGAAACGGGAAGTTGATGAAGATAAATTCGAAACTATTAGAGTTTGTTAGATCGAGAAAACATTCTGTTATTCATCTTCTGTTTATATAGGTAAGGTTACAAATAGTAAACCGGAATAAGCAAACCAAAATGTAAGACTAAACCATTTTTATAATTTGATAGAAATCAACGGGAGGAATCTCAGGATTTTGAGAGGAGGACCTGAATGTGATCGAGAACTGATCGAGCAGAGTTGAGTGAAATCCCGCGCTCCGCCGATGGTCCTCCACAAATGAGTCCAACTCTCAGATTCTTCTTGATCTTCTCCTCTCCGACTGAATACGAGACGGTTCGTGTTGCTCTGGAGGTAAGGCGTCTCTTCCTACCGAAATTCCAGCTTCGCGAGCTCTTCTGATGTTTCAGCTTCAGTGTCGTCGGTGCAGCCGTTGCTAATCGAGCAACGTCGTCTCCTCTTCCTATGACGTTAGTCATTGACAAGCTGACGCCGATCGACATGGACGCCATCTCCAAAGATATTTTTCGAAAAGAAGCTTTTTACAGTTTTCGAAACAAAAGCATTCGTTGCCACGCGGTTTTTTAAGCGATTTTGTAAAGTTTGGGGGTTTTTCTTTAGTATTAAAATATTCGGTTGGAAGACTGAAGATTAAAATCTTCGTTAGTAGTAAGGTGAGTAGCTAGTTCATTTGTATTAACCTTTTTGTGGTCCAAAACTAACTTTGAAGTTTGAAGCAATGAACAAAGGCTTTTCTAAAACCCTGTATAGAAAAATTCATACTGCTGCAAAACTCATTCAGATAGGTCCTTCAATTCTGCTGTTTTCATGCATGAATGTGAGAGAACTCAGTCTCAACATAAAAATTAATACATAGATCAGATGTGACCAAGAATGACTGTGACATAAATGTGGATTAAGTAAAACACTCTTTATGGTTGCCTGTAATTTCGTAACTGATAACATTTTTCCTCATCTTCCTTACCATGCAGGAATTAAAAAGAGATAAATTTGCGTAATCTGTTGTTAGATCTTTCAATGAGTGCTTCCAATAAAACGAAAAATTTGCTGAGACCAGACAAAGATGTGTAATTACTGATCCAACTGATACTAACTGATCGAGATTAATTAACAACACAAGTTTGTAATAATATCATGAAAACGCAAACTTTCTTTTTCCACAATTACTTTTTAACATTTTGAAACAAATTGTGAAACGGAAAAGAGTCTAAGATTTAATATTAAAGGAAAGAAATCACACACCCAATATAACATAATAAAAAGCAAATTAAGAAACAGGGAAACTATTTACAGATACCATTTACTTTAGTTGGCATAGCAAGTGATAGAGAACTTATTTTGGTGAAGCCTCCTCCTTCATCAGTTGTTATAACTTAGATTCTTCTTTCTAAACTTCAACGGAGGCTAACGAATACTTATAAAACCACTTTACCCCCCGACCAGAATTGGACTTTGTTTTGCTTCTGTTTTTTCCTTTTTATGCAACATTTTATCTTACGGTGTGCGACTCATCTTGCTTGCGAGTTGTCATGGGTGTATACAGAGACGAATGAGTCTGCAGCTCCAGCTGCAAGCAGAACCTGGTACGGATGAAAACTGAGGCAACTCACTGAACCAATCTTCTGTGCCATGAAGGATGGGTAGTAGCGAATTATCCCTAGTTGTTCTCCCTGAAGGCTAAACACTTTGATCAGCTGCTTTGCAGATCCGCTCGCGATTATTGGAGCGTGTCTGTGAACAGCTAAGGCCGTGAGTGAACCCCTGTGTGCATCTATCGTCAGGTATGTATCCTTTGTTGTTCTGAGGTCAAGGAACTGTATGTCACCGGCCTGTGATGCACTTACCACCTGCCAAAAAAAAAAAGAACAGATATTGTCATCGGGAAAGCGACAACTTTGAGTAATCTTTCAAAATAGGCGTGTGGACATGGAAACCCAAACCAAGACAAAAAAATATTTAACTCAGAGCCGAACCAAGGTTTATTTTTAAAACCGAACTGTAACAATACTTTATCATAGAGTCTCAAAAAGGGTATGAAAGCTGAGAGTTCAGAGAAGAGTTTTGGCTTCCAACCTTTGCGAGATCAAGTCCAGGCTGAAAACTGAGTCCAACCACTCTTTCAACTTTCTGATGAGGCCGAGTCGCACAGACAAGCCTTCAATAGGAGAATCGATGTTAAATGATGTATTCAATTATTTTGGTATAAATTGAAGGAGTTCTTGTGTAAAATTTCCGTTCGGGAATGAACTATAAAGCAACTTACGGGTCAGGTGACCGGACATCATATAGTCTCAGAGATCCATCAGCGAAACCAGCAGCAACTTGACCCCCGTGCACTTGGGACGCCGACTACAAAGATAACATTAAGTAAGCAAAATTCCCACGTTTTATACATATAGACTATCTGAATGTATTGTTAGTTTCTTCCTGCTCATTTTAAGTTTGAGCAACCATTTGGTAAGAATCAACACACCCACATAATTTTATTTTAAAACAATAATACTAAGATCGGCCCAACAAACAATCAACAGGCAATCATTGAACTTGGGTACCAAAAAAATGGAACCAGCAGACAATAGCATCCGTATATTACTCCTTGGATTATTAAATAAAATAATAGACAGGGTAGCAAATCATGACATTCTAAATTGTTTCTATTTATAGATAAAAATCTCATGTAGACTTACAAGTGCTGTAACTCCGCACTCTGACTCAGAGGGAATAGATCTGACAAGCTGTTCTTTCTCCAGGTCCCAAAGCGCGACTGTTGACACCTCCCCAGAAGCATACTGTTAAATACCAGAAATTTATAAATACATAAACAGGTTTTCGAAACTTCAAAAGAAAGGAATAAACACTGCACATCTTTTGATTAAAGCAATCACAAACCAGGTAGCCAGACTGTTGTTGCCAGTCAACAACAGCGTTCAAGTCACGTGCACCGGGCTTGTGACCCTGAATTGAGGAAAACCCCGTAACAAGCTTTTGTTTACCCTTTGTTGCATAGTTTTTCCATATCCGAACCGACCCGTCACCTGCCCATATTTCCAAAAGATCGTGTAAACATAAGTACTATTCTCACCAGCTATCAATCAATTCGCAAACAGTGGCAAAGAGTTACGAATATTACATGATGCAACAAGTAGAAAAGAGTCGTCAAGTTCATTGACAAAGCAGAGCTTTGAAATTCCTTTGTCAGGAAAATCATGATTGTCGAAGCCATTGAGAAGAGTTGCTTCTTCATAGTTCCAGACTCTGAGAGGAAAATACAGTAAAGTACTTAGTGGTGTAGAAGTAACACGATAATATAAAATAAAAAGTCACGAAGATCATTTTAAGATCATTTTGAGGGAAGCTTTTCTACATGATGATACACTAGAAAGAGAGATCTAATCAATTAGATCCAGCTTCAAAAGCGAACACCTTTAATTTTGGGGTAACTAGACAATAATCTGACTAACAGAAGGTCAACCGAACGCAAGAAACTGATATAGGATCCAGATTTTAGCTGTGCATACCTGATTCGTTCATTCTCATCTGCAGCAACTACAATAGGGGAGAAAGGGTGAAGGAGAGCTGTCTTTGTTCCCGTTTCAAACCTCGTATCCCAGTTGGCAATGGGATTATTGCTGAGCTTGCTCATAGCTGGTCAAGGGAAAATGTTGTAATTAGTTCAAGTGACTAGTATAGCTATAGAACAAACCAGAGATAAAATACAAAAGGTATTTACAGGAGTGCTGGCATTTTGCAATATGATCAAGTGCGAATTTTTCTTTCTCTTCTCTTTTGGTAACAATCTCTTGACTAGCATCCGTCCCACCAAGAAGCGGTTTAGAAAAGTGGCCACAGCTCCAGTTGTAGATAGTTGATAATGGGAGCAAACTCCGTTCAGATCCACTGACGCCTAAAGGCGGGTCAGCCAATCCTGAGTCTGGTGAACCCAACAGATGCGGTTTGAACTCTAATGAACAAACTCTCCTCAGTAGATAGTTTGTTCTAGGAGGGCTGACCGGAGGAGTCCTAAAACTTAACGGGAGATTACCTGTCGTCAACAACAATGCAAGATCAAAACTCACAAACACTCAATATAGGACAGCCTCCTGAATTAACCACAACTGTAAGAAAATTAACCACTTCATAAACAGCTACCTGCATGCATATCAAACCATGAGGATGAACGAGCTAGGCCAGTAAGAGGAGTGTGAGATGTCGTTGCAGCTTCCCCTAGTCGGCCAGTGGGCTTCGATGGTTTCGCAACAACTTGTTCGATTCCAATGATAGAAAGCACACGCCGCCCAAGACTTGCAATACGTGGACATGGGTCTTTAGCTAAGGCAAACATAGCTCGAACGCACTGCGAATAAACAGCATTATCCAATAGTCTTTGCTGGACAGTTCCATTGCTGACACTGTCATGCATGATTCCAGAATCAGAATGTAATGAAGAATCATCAGATAATGGAGATCCATTCATCAGCCCAGCCGACCCAAGAGGGCTGCTTGAGATCTTGGTAGCCACTGGTTGGCTATCAGTGCTAGCTCTAGTCAGAGGACTCATGTGTAAAGAAACAAGTTTTGCACTCCCAGCATCATGGAGTTTAGCTATTGAAGGGAGCGAAGTAAGCAAAGAACTTGACTGAGGCTTCCAATATGAAGATGCGGCTGACTTTAGGTGCTGTTTGTGGCCGAAGGCAAAACGTGCAAGAGCTGTAGAGACATTAACAACAGACAAGACTTGGGGATCAAATTGGAAAAAAAAAAAAAAAAGTAACCAAGCTCGCTTCAAGATGTATATGCGGAATGAAAAAGACAGACATTGGAAAATGCACAAAACTATATATGACCTCTCTAAACGAAGAACAATATGATTTTGAGGTTGTATTGAGTTAGAAACTATCCGTCTCTCTAGCTATCGCTACAAATATAGATTAGATGCCTATGTAAATTGGAGTTATTCATATCCAGTAAAAGGTAGACGTATCTAATTTGAAATAATCTCATTAAGTTAGAATATTTTGCCTTGAAGTTAAATAACTATCTAGGAAGTAGGAACCCATAGTCCCAAGATCATGAACGTTCAAGAGTGCATGCTTTGCGTACCTACAGCAACCTCTGCCCGGACAAGTGGACTCCCATCTGAGACAACATCTAAGAGACTTTTAATGATAGCTTCTTCTGCTCTAATCTTTTCATCATCATCAAATTCATCCTCCACAACACTTTTACTAGAGTCAAACCCAATATCAACTAAGGTACCCAGGGCAAAAACAGCAGCAGCCCTTACCTGCAAGGGAATGTTATGGTCAGCCATTACACTACTAAAAGAAGGATAACTTGAAGAAATCTGAGCTTCACCTCAGGTTGGGGCTCGGAAAGCAAAGGTGCCAGCTTTTGAAAAGCATTAGCCTCCCTACCCATTATTTGGGCCTCCATAAAATCTTCCCACAACTTTCCAAGACAAAGACAAAGCCATTGTAGAAACAATGGTTCTGGCTGTGGATCACTTGGTATCGATGCTTCAAGGTGCCCCAGACAGACACCAATCAAATTTGCTTCAAGACATGCTTCCTGGCCTCGTCGGTGTCCGTCCACAATGACGGCCAGAACAAAAGCAGCCATAGCTCGTTGTTCTGGAAAAGCACCCGAGCTATCTAGAAATCTTATGAAATATGTATGCCCGCCATCCTTCACAAGATCAATTTGACATGACTGAACAAAAGAGAGAACAGTCAATGTTAGAATAATTCATAGGCTGAGACGAGAAGGGTTAAGCAGCACGAAAGTGTGATGGCCGGAGATTAATTTGATGTCCAAAGACATGATATTAACTATTTAATATGCAGAAAATACTAGATGGTAGATTTGTGCCATTCAGCATTCATCTCAAAAAAACTAGATGGAAAACATAAGAGTTCTATTAAAATCACTCCCAACAGATGCACACTAAGACGATAGCCACCATAGGAGCTAGCCAAAAGTAGTAATTCAACAAGTAGATGCATGACAAACCACCATCATCCTCCCAGAAAATAGCTCATGGAACGCAAAAGAAGAAATTACCTTATCAAGTGCAAGAATCTTTGTCCATATGAAAACAAGGATCTGTCTTAGCTCATTTGTTGTTGTTTGCAGAAGCTTCAGCACATATGGGAATATTCCAACAGACAAAGCCTAGACGAATATTCACTTCACGTGTAAAGACATATAACCCGAAGAAACTATGCGCAAGCCAAAGGGAAAGGGAGTCAAGCATAAAAGTATACCAGATCCACGGCCCATGAGCCCATATCAAGAAATCTTCCAAGTAGTACAAGAGCACGAAACCGATGGCATTGGCTAAGTAACACCTGAAGAAAAATCAGTCTATAAATACACTATGATAGGAATATGCAAACAGTTATAAGATGGAACCTCCAGCCAAATAATATTCCTCAAGTAAAATCAACACAAAACCCATACGAAAATGAGAAAAAAACTATGGTTTTCTCTCTCACAGACACACAATATAAATAGAAAGGAATACACAAATTTAAAATGCACCTGAAGAACAATAGGCAACTGCTCTGGCGGCTTCTTATGCTCAGATCCATGATCAAGCCACACCTCAAAAGCTGTCAGTTGCTCAGTAAAAAATGGACTTGGCTAGAAAAGGGAAAGAAGCAAGTTTTATCATCAAGTAAGCGCCATCTTATACAATTAAAAGGAAACTAATAGGACAAATAAAAACCTGGAACTCTGCGTTTGGATCCAGAACAAGTTGGGGAAGGTGAGAAAGGCAGATTTCAGCAGCCATGTCCCATGCATCCCTGAAAAGCATGCAACAACTAGCTGAGGAAATCAAGACACATAACATTTTATGTAACAGAAGAATAGGGTTCTTCTTGAATACCACATATGATGTTGATGCGTAGGAGGTAGCATAGGGTGAGATATTGGATTACAATTTGCGGACCGCATTATTCTCTCCGCAAGTAAGAAATTTCGGAAAAGGCTAGCGACCAACAAATCCTGTCTGAATAATCTTTGGAAAAGTTCTGCAGGGAAAAGTAACATTCATGAGGGACACAGAAATACAAACGCGTCATTAAAGAGACTTGGCCTTAATACAGTATGCCAAATGTTTGGAGCAATACCATGAGGAAGCACATTCCATGCAATTGTATCCGTCACTGCTGTGAAAATCCAGTTCAACTCCCCTAACAATGTCTTACGGTCATTTTGGCGGCCGGGAATCCTGTCAATAAGTGATTCATTGATAATTTCTTTCAGAAGGGAACGCCGGCAGAACCTGCAATAGAAAGCCTCTTGTAAAAACTGTAGCTAAAGAAAATTATATCTAAGATTATATAAAGTAGCTTGATGGAACTACAAGAACGTTTTGTAGAAAGAAAACTTGACATCTGAGTACGCAAAGAACAATCAGAGGTGAATATAGAATCTACCATTTTAACGCCATTTTAATGGGTGTCGTGAGGCAAGCAGTAAAAACATCAGCTGGAAATTCAACGCTCTGAGGAAGTGTCTCATGAACGTCACAAGCAGCAAGTATAATACAGTCCCTTGAGGATCCAGACGAGCCCCAATCATGAAGCTGCCAAATGGAATAAACGAATTTCATATTATGGAACGCCCATTGCAGAATTAGGCCTTAAACTTGACGGAGGAGGTGATACATGAGTAAAGTGGTTAATTCCTTTACCTCAGCAAAGGCATTAAGAATCATCCTAGCAGCAGAGCAGTCAAAAACATAGATGGACGGTGTCTTCAACCAGGAATCAAGCTCACTGATTGACAATGGTATGTACTGCGTATAATTCTGCTCAAATACAAGATCAATCAGCTCGTAGCGGCAACAGACGAAAAGGAAGAAAGAACATCGTAGATAATAAAAAAGCTAGCAAAGAACAGACCTTATTAAATACCCAAATTTCCCCATTGGCTGTAGGCTTTGGTACACCATGCCCATTATAATGGAATAGAACTCTCTCTGTCTTTGCATACTTCCGACAAGTCAAACACAACTTCTTGACTTCTTCCTGCGTCGGATCTAACTGAACCTTATATCGAGCCTGAGAGAGAGAATACAATATAAAAAATGAATAACGCAAAATTAACAAAAAAACAATAACAATAAGGTGCATGAGAGCAATAAATAATCACCCTAGGTTGCCATCTCTCATACTGTGTGCTTAAATTTTGTCCAATACTCTCCAGAGCCTTGGGCGGTGCCATGGAAAATGGATCTGCCATCAAATAAAACACAAAGAAAATTGATATTGGCTGAAGAAAGAGTGACATATATGTGAGTTTGCTGAAGGTTTCCAACCTATCCAAGCCTCGATTCTTGCACAAGGAGATATCTTTATAACATCCGGCGGATCAACAGTAATGTTTAAACACAGAACTAAAGCTACACATCCTGTTTTCATCTGCAATGCCAACAAAAGAACAAAAAAATTAAACGTTAACAATAACCTCCCTAGCAGAATGTTTCATTAAATCTCTACATAATGTTAGTTTCTCTATGCTCCTCTTTCATTCTCAACTGCACTAAACTTACTCGCTCTTTAAGCCGCCATTTAGGAGCCAATACAATCCCCTCTGAAGTCCCCAAGAGCGCAGAAGAAGCCTCTGACGCCTCGTGTCTAAGCTCGCGGAGGACGATAGTCTGAGGCAGGTAGGCCATACTCGTGGCGGCTCTCTCCGTAGTTCCGTTTCCGAATATACTACTCGTAGCATCGGAATCTTTATTCATCCGCGACGACGAGGACGAGGAGACACAGTCTTCGTCCCCGTCGTTGTAGCGGTGATTGGAAGCTAAAGAAACAGAGGATTGCGAGAACCGTGATACCATTAAGTCTCCCAATGCCATCCAAATCGGAGACCACTCCCTAATCAAACACGGCCCCTAACGAAATCGAATCACTCAGAATCCCTAAGCCTTTTTAATTCGGATTGGGAGAGAATCGGAAAATCAATTGAAAGCGTGAGGAAGGCTTAGATCAATCAACAAAGCCGCTGAACCAGCGGCGGCGCGAGAGTAGAGAATCCAGCTCGAGGGGAGAAAAAAATAACAAACCAGATGGATAGAGAAGCGGTGGGGGAAACCTAGAGGAAGTGGAGAACGATGAAGGCGATTGAGATGTAGGAGGAGGCGCGTTAAACAGTGGTGGTGGTGGCGGCAGAAGAGAGAAAGTGAGGATGCGATTTAGTCAGAGAGGGAGAGAGAGAGAGACAAAGGGAAAGTCATCAAACACGCATTGCGTTTTTGTTTCCACTTCTCTTTTTTACCCCTCCTCCTCTTGAGATGTGAAAATCAGTTGTAGGTTATTATTATCTTATTATTATATATGAGATCTGATCGTATTAATTAGTGTGATTAAGTGAAGATATGTAACAATTGTAAATTTTAATCTGATTCTCTGGTTAAAATCATAGATGCAACCTAAACTTGGGTTTTATCAATACAGATCTACTAGAGTTTCTATTGTGATGACTTTGTTACAGAAAGAAGGAGTAACAGAGGATAAAGCGTGTGTATATTTCATGAGCTCAGTGTCCTATTAGTTATTACGTGAGTTGTGTTTTAATTAAACTCGTTCAGTCTTGACTTCTTCACTGTTGTGTGTGTTTTTAACTTCAAATGGAATTTTCATTTTTCCTGTTTATCACTCAAAGCCTACTTCATAAGTTGCATCATTCGTTTTTAATCGTTTAATTAAATAGTTATTTAATATTTTGATTATATGTCTCTACACTTTTTAATCTATACTTTTATACTCGTTTCTTTTCTTTATATCACGACCATCTTTATATGACAAAATTATAGAGATAATTGGCTATAGTGATTTATTACACCTATAATTAGAGAATTACCCATGATGTGATGTGACAATCAATTTCATTTGGACCATTTTGCTTTTCTCTACACTATCTCTCCTCTCTTTGACATTTCTTTTTTTTTTCTCTTCAATCCCTAGTTATTTTACAAATCTCTATCATTTTATATACAATTAAATTTTAAATTTCATTATTTTTTCATAAGTGGCTTTGAATCCTCAATTTTGACTTTTTTTCTCTCCAATCCCTAATTATTTTACAAATCTCTATCATTCTATATACAATTAAATTTAAAATTTCATTATTTTTTTCATAAGTGGCTTTGAATCCTCAATTTTTTGATGATATCAATTTTCTGGGTTTTAGATTCGACGTCGTGTTAGCGGTTAACAAATATTGTAGACGTTAACAGAAGTGTTAGTTGTTACCAATTATTTTTACGCTTCGCGTTAATAAATGTGTTCGCTGTTAACAAATATTGTAGACGTTAACAGAAGTGTTTAACTGTTAACAATTATTTTTACGATTCGCGGTACTAAATGTGTTGGTTGTTAACAAATATTGTAGACGTTAACAGAAGTGTTATATGTTAACAAATGTTTTTACGCATCGTGTTAATGAGAGGAAAGAGAAAGGGCATTCTCGGCATTTCCTTGCCAAATGGTTGTGTCAGTGTCCTTCATGTCCAATCAATGATATTTTGCTAATTTGAGCTTCAAATATGGGTAGTTCACTAAATCACTCAAAATTATATGTGCAGGTCAAATATTATACAGTGAAGACTATATGTATCTTTTTAGATATTAATGCCATAATTATATAATTAAAAATGTATCACATTTAGTTAGTTGTGTAGATTTGTAACAATATGGAAAATTTCTCGTTCATTTGCATATTTGCATTAAAAAGGAACTCTCCTATTTTTACGGATAGGTTAACATAATTTTAGAATTGTCTTATAACAAAAATAAATTCTTGTTTTTAATTATCTAAATTTGATTTTATAATAATTATTATTTCAGTGGCAGAAAACTATAATTGTTAAAGTAAACTAAGGGTTAATTCCAAAAATATACTTCAATTTTAATAGATTAGATATCTTCTGCAATATCAAGAATTGGATTCTATCAGGGAAATGCATGCATCTTCAAACAACCATGTCATCCCATTTGTCCTTGTGATTCAACAATGCAACAAAACTCAGGTACAGGAGATTATAGTTACCAAAGTTATTAATGAATATTCTCTAAATACGGTGGAGATGTGAATGTATGACATAAGCTACTTTGAATTCTACCTTAATGGTTAAAATGGTAAGAATTATAGAAAGAATGTTTTACTGTAAAACATTTACATATAAATAACAGTGTTTATGCATTTTAGTAGTGTTTTCAGGATCTATTTGCGTTTATATAGTACTAAAATGCTGACATGTGTTTACATATTAGTTTATTCTACAAATATTCAAGAATATGTACTGTCATGCGGGTCAATCCATAAAGGCTTATTTTTCTTACGGTTCGAGTTTGATCAGTTATTTTGGAGACCGCATATCTGACCCACATTGATCTGCTTGAAGATGAACCCCACTGTGGTACGGGATGGGACGGGAAAACATGTTTGCCATCTCCAGTGAAGATTAAGAAGAGTTTAAGAGCATGATTAATGGGAGATTCATAAAAATAGAGTTTTTAACAGAATTAAAAAAATCGTCTTTTAAATTTTAACTAAAAAGGTTAAGAACAAATTCTTAAATATCTTATTTACAAGCCGGTTTTTAGTTTTTTTAATTAAAAATTAATAGACGGTTTCTTAATTCCGCTAAGAATTCCACTCTTAAAAACCCCATTAATCATGCTCTATGACCAAGTATATACAAAAGAACCGGTTATTTGGTACATCACGATTTTATATAACAAATTTAACTTTATTATTGAGAAGAAAAAGAAATATAGATTATGGAAAAAGAGTCAATTCATCCATAGGAAATTGTCTACGGCGGAATTCACCCATTAAAAGGCATCCACGGGAAGTCGTCCATATCAACGGCATTTGTCTCCACACAACCATTAGAGACAAAAGCTCCCATTTAAATTTGAATTAAAAACGGTTGGGGACTTATCACACCAGACTCGTTTTCTTTAGTCTTTTATATATGTTTAGCTGTAGACTACAAGAAATTTCAAAGGAATAAGATTCACCTTCTTTACTCTCTTTCTCTTACAAACAACTTTCTACATTCTCTCTTTTACTTGTTCTTCACATTTTTTACATTTATGTAAGACATTATAAAATAACTTATATGGAAAACAAAGATAGAAACTTTCATTTAAACAAATCACATTATGAGTTTATAGAAAATGTCAGACCGCCAGAGCATAAGTTTGTAGATCTTACACATCGAAATGAGAAACGGAGAATTGCCACGATGAGGAAAACACTAAGCATACTTGAATAACGCTCATCTTCGTGCTGACGAGTCTAGCCTAAAGTGATCACGGCTCTCCAAACGCCGCCTACCTTCTCCACCGAAACTTCCATCACTTCGCCTTTGATGACCACTCGACGAAACCAAACAGCGAAACTTTATTATTTATACATTTCGTGATACATTTGGGTACTGAAAACCAACAGAAAGTTTCTCAAAATAATAATAAATTAAATACTTGGGTGTTTCTCTCTCTTGGCGAATTTCTCTCCCAGGCGAGTTTCTCGAAACTAGATATTACACACCGGTTAATCGCAGGCTCCACGTCAAAGTCTTCACTCTCTTTCCTGCTTTTGGCCGAAAACTTTCTGCAATATCAGAGTTATTTTCAAATTCCTTCTGCTTTTAGCTTTATCCCGCGGGTAAAAGAGAGCTTGGACAAGTATCCACCGGGTTCACCCCCGACCCTGTCGGAGGGACAGCCGCTCAGCATGGCCAGCTTCGCCGGAACCCACTCAAAAGCTTTCTCCAGATCCTATCCCGATGAAGCTCTGTCTCAAGACTAACATCACCTCTGCTCCTCTTGGGTTGTAATAACCTCCTTCGGACGACTTTCAGAAATCCAGCCTCCTGCAATTTTCAGTGGTAGTAACCTACAACTATGGCCCGAAGACTCAGTAGGAACGAGAAAGAAAAATGGACTGCTCCACCATCCTCCTCTACTAAACGACCTCCGGTGCGTATACCGGCTTCGGACAACGACGACCTTATAGTGGCTAATAAACTTACCATCATTGGACGAGTGACAAACCCATACTTTCAAAAGCCTCGTGCAATCATTGATTTCATGCCCCAAGTATGGAATCTCGACGGAAGAGTAACCGGTAGAGAACTTGGTCTTGATAAGTTCCAGTTTAAGTTCGAGACAGAGACCGATTTACAATTTGTCCTAAAGAAGGGCCCTTATCACTACAAAAGATGGATGCTATTGTTACAAAGATGGGAACCCTCTATAGTGGATGATTTTCCATCAAATATCTCCTTTTGGGTGAAGATCCATGGCATACCCTTACACTTCTGGTCTGAAAAGACTATCTCTACCATTGGGAAGGAACTTGGCTTTGTAAGCGATAAAGTGATAGAAGATGCTAAGGTGAGGGTTGAGGTGAATGGACTTCGACCCCTGGAAATGAAGATGGAGATTCAACTCCCCTCTGATGACGTTCTTGAAGTGGAGTTTGAATATCACAAAATTGAGAAACACTGCTTTACTTGCTTCTCTCTACTCCATGAGGAAAGCAATTGCCCTCTTATGTCACCTACTGCCCCCCCACCTAAAGACAGAGTTCTTGGTATTACTCAGAAAATTGCTCTCCAAAGAATTGAAACAGAGAAGAAGCGACATGATGATAGACGTGGCTATCAAAGACCAGAATGCCAATCCTCCAGGTCTTTTATTGAACATCATGAGAGTTATGATAGAACTAGAAGAGATGTTGGAAAGAGCCTCCATAATTCTGAGAAGCATCGTGAAAACTCTACTACAAGCTTCGTACGACCCTCTACTCAACACTACAGGAATGTAACCTCCTCTGGCCAATACCGAGTGGTGGATAGAAGCAGATCCCAATCCCATCGTTCCCCGGTAGCTCAACCTGAGAGAGCAACGGATCAAGGCCATCGGGAACACTCAGATGGACACCATTCTGCTACCTCCCCCCCCGTCACGGTCTCCCCAAGATCGACTAGGAGTTCAACTGGGGAGTGATCGCGATGGCAGGAACTCGGGCTCAAGAGAAGGACGTTCAGACCTTGAGCGGCTTTCTGACCCGCCTCCTGTCGCATCTATTGATAGGGTGCCTCCAAGCTTTGAATCAGGCAGACTTCAGGAAGCCCCTGAGGTTTGTGATGAAACTATGCGGGTGGAGGAAGCTGATGATCCTACTGGTATCCAGACTAGAACTTCTGCAATTCTACGTTTAGGAGCAGATACTTCATCCCGCAGTAAAAAAGGAAAGGCTATTCTGATCGCTAAATCTAGCAAATCAGTAGGAAAAAGGAAGGTTGCCCCTATCTTGAAGAGAGTCGTGAGAAGTCCTCTCCAAGGACCCTCCTCAAAAAGGACGGTTACAAAGAAGTCTTCTACTGCTACTAGGAGGAAGTTAATTACAGAGAAAGACCCAAATTTACCTTGTCATAAGGCTGGTCCTAGTACCAATCGTGCAAATTCAGGGCCATCAAATTCGGTGTTCATACCAGGTTGTACTAGAGGAGGGAAGGATTTTCGGCCCCTCCCAAAGTCTCTTCCTTAGCGCTATTGAGTTGGAATTGTCAAGGATTGGGGAACGTCCTTACAATTCGACGACTCAAGGAGATGTATCGTAGTTTATCTCCTGATGTATTGTTCCTCATGGAAACAAAGAGTGATGACTCTTTCATTAATGAAAAATTGCAAAGTTTCCAATATCCACATTACTTCTCAGTACCACCTACAGGGCTCAGCGGTGGACTCTCCTTGTGGTGGAAGGATTCGGTTGATCTAACAATTCTGGAATCATCCGCCAACTTGATAGATACTGAGATAAAGCATAAAGGAGTTTCATCATTTGTATCCTTCATATATGGAGCCCCACAACTGGAAAACAGAGGTGCCTTTTGGAGCAAGCTATCGCTGTTGGGAGCAGAACGTGATTCCCCTTGGTTGATCACCGGAGATTTTAATGACATTCTAGATAATACTGAGAAGGTCGGTGGACCACCACGACAGGAAGGATCCTTTACATCTTTCCGATCCTTTGTAGCAGAAAATGGTCTCTGGGACCTTAAACATTCCGGTGATAAACTCTCTTGGAGGGGGACTCGATACACACATTTCATCAGATCAAGACTTGATCGTTCGATGGGAAATTGCTCCTGGTCAGAGACGTTTCCCCTTGGTCGATCCTGCTACCTCCGGTTTGAAGGATCGGATCACAGACCATTGATGACTTACTTCAATTCTAATAGACACAAGCACCGTGGGATGTTTAGATTCAACAGAGCTCTCACAGAAAATGAAGCGATTACACAACTGGTTGAATCAGCTTGGAATCATTCCCCGCTAGAATCAGTGATTCTGAAACTCAATTCCTGCAGAAGAAGCATCATCAAATGGACCAAAGAGCAACAAAGTCAGAGTAATCTCGTCATTAAACAAGCACAAGCTAGTCTAGATGCGGCTCTCTCAGATCCTGTGCCGAATCAGAGTCTCATTGACTCTTTTCAATTAATTCTTAGACAAGCATACCTGGAGGAGGAGCAATTCTGGAGACAGAGAAGTCGTATACAATGGCTGAAGCAAGGAGATCGTAACACTGGGTTTTTTCATGCTGCCACTAGATGTAGACGAGCAATAAACTCAATTCCGGTCATTGAAGACGACTGCGGGAATGTGGTTTATGAGGAAAAAGATATCGCTCAAGTAATCTCGGAGTATTTCCAACACATTTTCACATCTAATGGCAACGAGGATTTTTCACAACTGCAGGGCCTACTCTCCCGAAAAGTGACCCCAGATATGAACCATTTTCTCACAGCTATACCGAGCGATTCGGAAATTAGAGAGGCTGTCTTCTCAATTAATGGAGGTAAAGCACTGGGGCCTGATGGTTTCTCAGCAACTTTCTATCAAGCTTATTGGCATATTGTGGGTGGAGATGTCACCAGGGACATCAGGAGTTTTTTCACCACCAACTCGTTACAGCCTCAGCAAAATGAAACGCATATTAGGCTCATCCCAAAGATCACGGGACCAAGATCAGTCGCTGACTATCGCCCCATTGCGTTATGCAACACCCATTACAAGATAATCGCAAAAATTTTGACGAGGAGATTGAAACCACTTCTGCCGGAGCTTATTTCCGACAACCAGTCAGCTTTTGTAGCGGGGAGGGCTATCTCTGACAACGTCCTTATCACGCATGAGACTCTACACTATCTGAGGACGTCGGAGGCAAAAAAGTACTGCTCTATGGCGGTTAAAACCGACATGAGTAAGGCCTATGATCGGATTGAGTGGAGCTTTGTGAGAGAGGTCCTTTCACTTCTCGGTTTTGATCCAATTTGGATATCTTGGATCATGAGCTGTATTGAATCAGTGTCTTACACCTTCCTAATTAATGGGTCTCCTTAGGGATTTGCTAAACCATCTCGCGGCTTGAGACAAGGAGATCAGTTATCACCTCATATCTTCATACTTTGTACTGAAGTGTTATCAGCTTTGTGTCACCGTGGTCAGGTCGATGGCTCCTTGCCGGGAATTAAGGTCTCTCGTGGAAGCCCTGCTATCAACCACCTTCTCTTTGCGGACGACACAATGTTTTTCTGCCGATCCAAAGCTTCTTGTGTTACAAATCTTCTAAAAATCCTTGAGACGTATGAGGCAGTTTCTGGACAGAAAATTAATCCCCTTAAATCAGCCATCACTTTCTCGGCCAAAACGCCTCAGGAGGTTCGACAGCGTGTAAAGGAGACCATGACCATTGAGGCCGAAGGTGGTATTGGTAAATATTTGGGGCTGCCTGAGCACTTTGGCCGCAAGAAGAGAGATATTTTCTCTGCAATAGTAGATAAAATTCGACAAAAATCCCATAGCTGGTCCACAAAATATCTGTCGGGTGCTGGCAAACAGATTATGCTCAAATCAGTGCTAGCTGCTATGCCGTGTTATACGATGTCCTGCTTCAAGCTCCCACTTTCCCTCTGTAAGCAAATACAATCTCTCTTGACTCGGTTTTGGTGGGATGCAACACCTGAAAAGAAAAAGATGTGTTAGGTTGCTTGGTCTACTATGGCATTGCCAAAATATGCAGGGGGACTGGGGTTTAGAGATATTGAAACGTTTAATGATGCTCTTCTTGCAAAAATCGGCTGGCGGTTGATTAAGGAGCCTAACTCTCTACTTGCAAAAGTTCTGCTAGGGAAGTACGCTAGAGACACAACGTTTCTGGATTGTACAGCCCCTGCGAATGCGTCTCATGGCTGGAGGAGTGTTCTTGCTGGAAGAGAAATTCTTCGGAAAGGTTTAGGCTGGACAGTGGGAGACGGCGAATCGATTAGTGTTTGGCGTGACCCTTGGCTCTCATTTAAATCTCCCAAACAGCCTATAGGACCTCCACCAGAACACTCTCAATCTCTGAAGGTCAATGAACTACTCTGTCCAATCTCAAATAACTGGGATTTAGCAAAGATCCGCCTGCATTTACCTCAGTATGAGGAGGATATTTTGAGAATAAAAACCAGCGCAGTACCGTCTATGGACTCCCTTGTTTGGCTCCAAGAAAAATCAGGATCCTATTCAACTAAAACGGGATATGGAGTGGGTATGATGGCGAATTTGAGTTCTGGAGATTCCGATATCCCTTTCAATTGGTTAAAGAACATATGGAACTTGGAGACATCGCCAAAAACTAAGGATTTCTTGTGGAGAGTAATAAGAAAAGCAATTCCTGTGAGTGCAAATTTAGAAAAAAAGGGCTGCCCTGCCTTCGCCTGCAAGAAATGTGGTGCTCCGGAAGATGACCTCCACGTCTTCTTGACATGTCCTATGGCGGTAAATGTCTGGAACCTCATCCCTGTTAAGTCACCACCGTCTCTCTCTGCGGTTTCTGTGGTTGATTTTATTTCACATGCTCATGGCCTAATCCCCTTACCGCCGACGGGGTTGACCTCCCCTATTTGGCCTTGGGTCTTATGGAATTTGTGGAAGGCTAGAAACAGCCTCTTGTTTGAAAACAGGATCTTTACAGAACAAGTTTGCCCTCAAAAGTATCAAAGACGCAAAAGAGTGGTGTTCGGCCCAGTCAACGTTACATCTTCGAGTGCAAATCTCCACTCAAGTTCAAGGTCTTAGCGGCTCTACTCGCTCCCCCTGCCCTCCCCCGACTTTTCCTCCTGGGACTTTAGTCTGTATGGTTGATGCAGCATGGGATGCAAACTCAGAAGCCTGCGGTATTGGAGGTATTTTCTCCGGTGACAACCCGCTTCAACTCTCCACTATCTGCGAATCTCGCGATCATGTTTCCTCAGCTATCATGGCAGAAGCCATGGCTATTCGACTTGCGGTAGCTACTGCAGTTTATTCAAACGTCCGATCCCTAGCGGTTCTCTCTGACTCTCTATCTCTTATCAAGCTCTTGAAGAATGGAGAATCTCAGCCTGAACTTTTTGGGATCATGTTTGATATCTATCATTACATGTCTCTCTTTGATGTTATCTCTTTCTCCTTTACCTCTAGGAATTTCAATTTTGAGGCTGATGTTATGGCAAAATCAGCTCTCTCCCTTTCTGTAACAAACTCCATTGTTGGGAGTTAAACTCTTTCTCTAGTAATGCAAGTATGTTTGATCAAAAAAAAAAAAAAAAAAAAATCACCCCTTTGTATTGGTGTCATTTATATATACACAGAATACACAAAAGGTGAATGATCTTGAAAGATATTAGAAACGAGGGTACATCACATCTTGGACATAGCGTGATCCATCACATCCACAAGGAAATCTACAAAATAAAAGTTTCGAGATAATACTAGTTTTGAATAACAAAATAATGGATTTGAAGAAAACAATTTGAGCAGAAAAGTCTATGGGAGCTAACCAGCGTCGAGCATGGTGAAGCAAAGAGGAGGAGTGATTCTGAAGACGTTCCCGTAGAAACCACCTTTACCCACCAACACTCCCATTTCTTTATAGCAAATCATCCATATTAAAATGCAAGTATATCAATCAATGGATAGAATTTGCTTTGTTTATCGAATGCATCTAACCTTTCATTTGATCCATTAAGTGAAGAGTCTCTGCTTTAGCAGGAGTTTTTAAGTCACGGTCTGTTACAAACTCAACACCTAGCATGAGTCCTCTTCCTCTCACGTCTCCGATGACTAAAACAACACGATAAAAAGAGAAAAAAAAATCAACAAACGACAAGACAAATTATTTAACATTCTCTGGACAAGAACTCACGTTCATGTTTGTCTTTGAGCTGTGTAAGTCTACGTTTGAGATGAGAGCCAACGAGGAAAGCGTTTTCTTGGAGCTTCTCTTCATGAATGACTCTAAGGACAGCATGTCCCGCCGCAGTGCACATTGGGTTCCCACCGAAAGTATTAAAATAACTTCGCCGGCTTAAAATGCTGGCGATCTCCGGTGTAGTAACCACCGCTCCAAGAGGGATGCCGTTTCCGATCCCCTGTAAACATAGTCAACTACTCAACTTAAACTATGATTGATGATCAAGATAAACCGATAAAGAATCAAAGTATGAAGCATGATGATCAGTACAGTCTAAAAAAACAAAAACTTAATTTAATTTGTATAATTGTTTTTAAAGATTTATTTATCTATTCATTTATAATAAGGGTTGGCTATGTTCGACCACTAAGAGTTTGGTCACCAAGAGTATGATTAATCCGGGGTTCTTAGAATAAGATTCTTAACGAAAATTAAAAAATTATTTTTTAACTTCCGTTAAAAATCTTAACTTAGGAAATCCGAGTTAATAATGGTCTAATGTTAAGACGGTCATGATGATGGTTAACCTTGGCCATAGTGACGATGTCGGGGATAACACCATGGGATTGGAACCCCCAGAAATGGGTTCCGGTACGAGCGAAACCGGATTGGACTTCATCGGCGATGCAAACTCCTCCGGCTCTCCTCACGATGTCGTATACCGCAGGTAAGTACCCGGGCGCAAGCTCTACGATTCCTCCAACTCCCTGTGACACACATACGTACTTAGACATGCATGTATAAGCTTGTACAAAGACATAACTAGGAATTAATCTCGCCTGGATAGATTCGCCAATGAAACCCGCGACTTGACCGAAGTTCCGAATTGGATCAGGTCATGTACGTCCCTAGAGTACTTTTCACCGTCCGATCCGAATATTCCCCTGTAAGGGTCTGGATTTATGGCGTGATGAACACCACTCTGTTACAAATTTGATAACTATGTTTAATACGTGTTGTTTTGTTTTTATCGATGTACTTAATCCTAACGGATTCAAACATCCATAGCTACCATTCAACTATGATCATTTAATGTTTTGTAATTTGTATACCCTGATAAAAGTTGAAACCAAAACCAAACCCAAACCAAAAAGTGACTAAGAAAAAAGTAAACCAAAATGTATAGACTTACATCAAACCAATAATAAATCTACTGATCTACATCAAAACGCTACTAAACCGATTCAAATGGATGTTCAAAAGGATTTAGTTTCAGATTTTTAAAGGTACTGTACCACAGTCAAAGACTCAAAGTCTAATTTATCTTATTCTTTTTTAAGCAAAAATCATTCATTTAAGTTTTTATATTCTTTTTCGATTCAGATCTCAATACATTTATTTAAATTTTAAGATCATACCTACAAATGAAAAAAAGAGTGAAACCAAACTGAAAATGGAATTGAAGCTACATGATCTCCCTAGACTATAGTGATTAAGTTTTTTTTTGTTTTTGAGCAACCGTGATTAAGTTATCATATTTTGTTTATACAGAAATGATAAACAAGAAAACCTGAACAATGTTAAATTTCCAGTTGGACTGAGCAGTGGCTCCCATAGTTGCAGCTGCGTTACCATGGTAAGAGTTCCTAAGTGAAACCACGTCGTTACATCCAGTGTACAGCCTAGCCATCATCATCGCCAGCTCATTCGCCTCTGTACCAGAATTCGTGAAAAACACAACCTACATAGACATATATGCCTTTGCCTTACCGGTCAAGTCATCGACCAAAATAACCTTTAATTTCACATTGTTAACCTTGAGATCTCCGGGGAGAGTGGAGACAAGAGCTTCAGCGAAATCAGAGATGGTGTGATTAAGGTAAAGGGTGGTGGAGTGTTGAATAATCTTTAACTGTTTGATGACGGATTCAACTACTTCCTCGTGGCTATGGCCACACGAAACCGTCGCTATTCCACCGAATGCGTCTAAATATCGCCGTCCCGTCTCGTCGAATACGTACTGCATCTTTCCCTCCACAATGTTTAACTGTTCATCAACAAATATATATTAAAATATGATTTCATCTATTTGCCGGAACCACTTTCTCCCGGCACGAGTTAAACTTAGAGCACCCACATCGATAAATCCCCCTTGGGATTCACACAAATAAAAATAATAATTTTCTTTATTTATTTTCGTTTACTTAAAAAAAAAAATTAATATTGTACCAATCATATGTTGACACGTGGTGAACCCGGGATCATCAGGGTTCACCGCGGTGAACTTTTAAGAAAGAAATTCATAGAAATCTGATTTTAATATTATTATTTTTTCTCGGTTTGCGTATGAACTCCCCCATCAACCCTTGATGGGGGTGCTCTTAGGGTGGCGGTAGTTATAGTCACAATCTCTTTACCACAAGGCCAATTCGACATTGGTTTGACCAAAAAAAAATTGTAAATATCTACATATTCAAACTTTAACTTTAACATGGTCTAGCCTTGTCCTAGAAAATGTAAAGATCTACATACTCAAACTTTTAGTCATTAAAATATATACTATATAATATATAAAAGAAAGGCGTCGTTTTATAGAGGAAAGAGTAAGGGACTTTTTTTATTTTTTTACCGGAGTACTGTAGAAGTGGAATAGAGCTGGACTGAGGAACTCTCGCCGCTTGGCGATGATCTCTGCGGTGGAAGGACCGTCGTAAGGCGAAGGAGAATAACTAAAGGGGGGTATTTTCGGAACTTTTGTTTCGGTCTGGTGAACGGAGTTTGTTCTTTGAGCTACTGTCTGAGCGAATCCATTACGTTGGAGAAGAGAGTATTCCCGTTTCAGTAATGTATTAACTGCAGTCAACATCCGCATTTTTTCACCGCCGTTAAAACGTGGCCGGATATTTTTTATAGAGATGGAGAGATTGTGTTTTCTGTGGAGTTGTTCAATTTATAGGCGTAAATAATCAATTAGTACTTTTAATAAATTCTTAAAATGTTGCTAGCTGAAACTTATCCGTTTGTCTCACACTGTTTTAAAAATGTGTCCACTAATCTTAATCATCCTAGTTTGATATATTATAATGACGTACTTATCTTGTATAAATATAATCTAAATTAAACTGAAACTCACTATAATACACGAAAATTATGATTACTTTAAAACTCCACCTATTAGGTAAGGTAATTGTTCTAACTTCTAATCATGGATAAGACGAGCAAGTAAGCACATTTCTCCAAGCATACACATGATGTCACACTATTGTATTTCTTTGGTTTGATTGGCGTGACTTGTAGGAGATAGTGATAGTCTGATATAGTGCACGGTTCGTTACAACGAATCCGGAATCACGTATGAAACAAGATGGACATTAATGTATATACTTGACACACACTTATAATGATATTAACAAACATAACTAAATTAGCAAAGTATTGGTAGTCTACTGATAATACAAGCTAGATGGTTCTCCTCTGATCCAAGTTCAAATATTTGTTCGAAGATCAGTTATTGTCTAAAACTGAGAAGATTACCGAAACTTCCATTTAAATCATTATATATTGTATATGTTTTGTTATGAAAATTCAGTAATGTTCGTAACGCAATCATTGTTTATAAACTCTAGCTAGTTGCCAAGATTCTACAATTCTTAATTTTTTCAATACGCGGCCCCTATCAATACGGCAGCTCCATGAACCTGGACACAAACTTAGGAACATATTCATAGTTAACTTGTCGTTGTGCTATGAAAGTGAAACAATCAACCTACAAGCCGGCCGTATCATGGAGTAATACGTTGATTCAAATAATTGGACAAAAGACAATGTTTTTTATATTCATTGTCACTTCAACTACTTTTAATGGATCCAATCAATGTGTTACGCATGGGAATAAGCTGGAACGGAACTAAACGTTAAAATGATCTTTTGTCAATGTAGATTCTGTATTTTTTTTTGGTAAAAATGTAAAGATATTGTTACCAGATTTTAAAGTTTTTGACATAATACAGAGGATTGCCAGAAATGGAGTAAACAGAAAATAAATTTAAACAAAAACACATAATCTAGGTTACACAGAGACTTGACACTACAAACCGCACCACTACCCAGAGGCTTGGCAGAACACAAACCACTTGCCGCAAAAGGAAGAATGGCAGTTAAAACGAGAGATAGAACCCGGTAATTAGTCAAAGAGTTAGATTCTGTATCTTCTCATCGCATCCAAGTATTCAAGAGGAGAAGATAAATGGCATTTATCAAAGAGTTAATAACAAAGAGTTATCAAATCCCTAGGCGTGAATGTACTTGAAGACTTTAATGCCATTTAATAACCAATCAAAGAAGTGTGAATACTTGTATCATCGTGTATTTCTTTTCATAAATTAGTGTGTGTTGTGTATGTGTTTTTGTTATAAGTCACAACAAGTATCATATCAAAAATATAAATTACAGACGACAAGCTAGAAGAGAAGATGTTAAAAGTTGGGAGAATTAGCTAAAGAGACATATATCTAATTTTACCCCTTATTTCCTTAACTATTTTGGTTGAGATCCACATGTATTTTGTTTGAGATCAACGTTTGTAGCTATGTTTTGCATTAAAAAAAAAATACAACCTAAACCGTTTAAAATTATTATATTCCATGTGTTTCATATTCAGTGTTACTTTAACTTTATGCACATGAATTAAAAAAATAATTAATTTTACATATTTTCTATATAAAAACACGAATATCTATACATCTAATCATATTTCAAATAATAAAAAAATATTACATAAAAATTTAATAAATTTTGTATTGAAAGTCGAAAACAACATTTATTTTGTAACAATTTTTTTTCTATAACGACACTTAATTTGAAATATAGAGAGTAGTTTTGAGAGACTCAAAGGACACTTGGCTTTCTATCAATGGTTTTTACTTCTTTTTTTGTTTAAAATCTAAAAAAAATTATATTATATTATAATTATTGTAGTTTTATTAGTGAGATACAAATATGTGTTTTTTCCACAAATAATAATGCTCTAAGAATGTGACAAAATAAAATTCCTAAAACATATTAGGTCATATTGGTCACAAATTTGATTAGCCCGTTATGTGAAGTTGAGCTAGCCAATTATATAAGTTAGACTGGGCCCATATTCTTTTTTCATCTCAGACGTTTCATATTCATTTAAGCAGTGAGAGTGAGCGGCAGCAACAGTCTCATCAAATAAAACTCCGATCTTTCCTCTGACAATCTCTCTCTATCCCTCCTCTCTCTTCGTTTGCAATTTATTTGAATTCTCCTTTCTTCTTCTAGAGCCAAGAGGCAAATACACGCACTTAATCAACTCGGAAAATCCAAACCTAGGGCTTTACTTTTAGCCAAGACAGAGTGGATTCATCACTCTCCGTATCAGAAATGGAAGAGAACTTCGATATTCAAGCTCTGTTATCTTTCGGAGACGATTTAATCAACTTACTAAACTCCAAGAACGTGTTCGACGTCGTATCGCAAAGCTTCGATCAGTCAAAAGCTCTCCACTTGGCTTGCGACGAGGATTTCAATCAGATTCAGGAATCTATTAAAGGTTAGTTTTTTTTCACTTGGGTCTCTATAAAACCGTCGAAAGAGAGATACTTTACAAGACTTAACCATATAAAAGTGTTCGATTAGATTGTAAGAAGAAACTCGATGGTTGTAAGAAGAAAACAGTGGAAGCTTATTCAGATGAAGCAGCAGGAGGTTATGACATTGAGCGTCTTCAGAGAGAGCTTGATGAAGAGATGGAGCTAGAACGCAAGATACATGACGAGATTAGATAAGTGTATACTTTAGTTTCAGTAGTCCCTTTGGTTCAGTGACATGAAAAGTCTATTTGTTCTGTCAATACAGTCGTTGCTGATGAACTCAAAGACCTGAATACACAATGGACATCCATTGATGAAAAGAGGCAGTCTTTAAAGAGGAAAGAGCGTGACGAGTTAAGAGCTGAGTAAGATCCTCAAACCCCATTGATTGCAATTGATTTTTTTTCTGAATGTTGGTATCTCAACTACTCTTTATATCTGCAGGAAAAAGCTTTTTATGTATGCTTGTGTCACAAATGTTATACCAGAAGCAGAGGTTAATGATCCATTAAAGATCTCAGGCTGTATCCTTTTTTTCTTTCATCATCTCTTTACTTCACGAGTCTCATTTCCTTTTGAGTGTTTTGAATCCTTGATTTAAATTATTCATTAGATATGGTAGATGGCGAGAAAAGAATTAAGAAGTTCCCGTTAGAGAAAAATAAGATGACGGCTTATGAGACATGTAACAGTATCTGGAGCCTCATCATAAACAAGCAATAGACAGACGGCATTTGTTTGATGTGTCTGAGTGAACAGTCTTGGTTTTTAGCTTAGCAACCAAAAACTCTGTAACCCATCTCCACCGTTCCTTAAATGTAGAAACTTTTCCTGCTTAGTTTGTGTTGACCCTTTTGTAATTTGATTACGAATCTTCTTCATCATCTATGAAAATTTCCATTCTTGTTTCAGTGGTATTCTCTCTTTGTGCAGTGTACCTGTAAAAATCCAAAATCATCAGCTCTTTGCTGCAGCTGCTATTACTATTTTCTTGATAAATCCTTTTGTGCAGATTGATGCAAGTTCTAATTTAGTACAAACTAGTATTATCTCCCGGCTTCGCACGGGTATATACTGTATGGAACCAAAACAAAATATAGAAAAAGTTATTTTCTTTTTTTAACAATAAAAATTTAGATGTAAAGATTCAGGAAAAATGTAGATAATCGGAGTTGGTGTGTTTGTTTACTTTTCGGTTTTCCATTTTTTTTTTTTTGCAATACTCTTTTTTTCATTCCTAATGTTATATTTATTTGGTAGTTTTGTCTATGAGAAATCTACAAAATTTGTTGATTCATAAATAAAAGAAATAATAATATCTCTATATGACTATAGAACATATTTAGAATAAGTAAACTAACATGAGGACCCGTCTTGATATATGGAGAATACATGAGACCTCGTTTCTACTACCACTTTTAAGCTCCACTTTTTGCATTGTACTATTGTAGTGTTCTCAAGTTTATTATGGGAGTTGTTAAATTTTTGGCAAAAAAAGGTTTTTATAAAAGGCATTATAAAATCTTCTTTACGCGTGTGTTTGTTACTTTCCTTACTCAAATTACTACCTTCAAAACCAATAAACATTTTCTAGCTAATAGAAAATTAATTTAGTCTATTTGAAAATTATATTGATCAAATGTATACGTTAAAAGGATAAATACAGATTTATGGAAAACTTAGGATGGGTCGTGGGGAATGGACTGGACATTAAGGTTTGGGATGATGCATGGCTCAGTCTTACGTCCCAGATGAGACCGATAGGACCTGCAACAGAATCCTCAGCAAACCTAAAAGTTGCAGAACTTTTCCACGAAAACACAAGGCGATGGGATGAGGAAAAGATTGGAAATATGCTCCCACACTGGGAGAACATTATCAAGATGATCAAACCTAGCGAGTCAGGAGCTCCTGATAAATTGATTTGGTTAAGTACACCCTCTGGCGACTACACAACAAAATCGGGATACCATACAGCCATTCAAAGGAGAATGAGGGCAGAAGAGCATAATGAAGAAGATGGACGAATAGATTGGTTTAAAGGAGTATGGAACCTACATACCTCCCCAAAGATCAAAATGTTTTTGTGGCGTTTGTTTCAGCGAGCCATCCCAGCTGGGGAGATACTAGTAACGAGACATATCACATCGGATGGCCGATGTAAGAGGTGCGGTACATTGGAATCTATAGATCATCTGTTTTTACATTGTCCTTTTGCAGAGGAAATTTGGAGATCTGCTCCTTTTGCAATGACAGTGGAGACTAGCGGATTGATAGATTTACAGAATGTATGGTTGAGCCTTTGTGGAAGAACATGCCTCCCCCCAACGGGAATTGCTGCAGGGCAGCTAGCACCCTGGATTTTGTGGCAAATATGGTGGGCTAGAAACCAAATGTTATTCGAAGGAAAGCTCTGCTCAGAAACAGAGGTGGTGACGAGGGCAGTGAGCATGGCACGAGAATGGATGAATTGCCAAGTGAAGGATGCCGTAATACCTCGCAGCTTCCCTCCCCGAGCTCCCTTACTTGTGAACTGTACTGTTGTCAACACAGATGCGGCCTGGAGAGCAACATCTCAGTATGCGGGACTCGGATGGACGATTAAAAATCAAGAGGTGATCCGAGAGTTTACCTCGGGAGCCTGTTTTGTGGGTTCAGCTCTGGTTGCAGAGGGCTTAGCGGTAAGAGAAGCAATCACTAGATGCAAGGAGTTGGGATACAGGCGGGTGCGCTGTGAGTCGGACTCGACGCAACTGATCAAAGCAATTATCACCGGAGAAGTAAAACCGGAGCTCTATGGAATTGTCTCGGATGTTATCAATCTCTGCAGTTTCTTTGATGTAATTTCGTTTGTTTGGATCTCGAGAGAGTACAACTCAGCGGCTGATAAGATAGCAAAACTCTGTTTGAATGAGTGGGAGGCCTTTATGGCTTCCACCTAACTTTGCGTTTGCATTAATATAAGTAGTTGGGTGTTCAAAAAAAAATGGAAAAGTTAATATGATGCAAAATATGTATTGGAGAGTTTGAGTGTATCTAGTCTCACTAACCTGAACTTTAATATTCATCTGTCAACTTTGCATTCAGCTCCGTCCTAGAAAATTGTATTTCTTTTTTATCTTTGAAATAATTTCTCTTAGAGAATATCGTAAGAAGTAATCTCATTTGTCTGGTTAGAAATTTTAAGAATCTTATCACCTTTTCACATAGAGATTCAACAACCATTGCAAAACAAAGAAGGAAAATTACAGTGAATCCACGTAGAGATGAATTTATAGCATGATGACTAAAACTACATGTAACCGTTTTTGGAGATCGTGTGATCATGTGAGAAATAATAGGGACTTTTGCTATATCTAACTTTTTTTTGATGAAAATAAATAGAAATCAGTTACTGAACGTGTTTTTATTTTACATTTTCTTACATTTGCATTTTTTTCTTTAAATTGTTAAATATATTCCATGTGGCAAAGTAGGATTGGTCGTGCGACTTGTAATTTAGTATATAAAGGATTCCAAAGGAACATGCATTTTTAGCTGATCATTGAGAAATTGGAGATGTCAAGTTACTTAGCAGGCTGTATGGAACATGCTACTAGCAGGCTGCTAGTGTCTCCACTGAACCTGTATATGTCACATTGTTTTTCTCTGTGTTTACGAGAGTTGACATGCTACAGAAGATGGGATTGTGTTGTCTCTGTCTCATGTGAACAACCTTAGAGATACAAACCGCCGACATATCCAGAGCTCAATTTATGGATTACTGATGAACACGATGCAAATGCTTTGTCTGACAAAAAGGTGGTTGGTCAGTTTCTGCTTTTTCCCTTTCAATTTCCGAACTTCATGTTTACCAATTTAATGCCAAGCTTCTTCTGAGTGAGAAAGATCTTCACTGTATAGATACGTGATGCTTATTAGTAGTCTTCTCTAGACCTTCCTTGATAAGATTAGTCACAAAGAAAGTTTGGCTGTTACTAATACTGTTGCAAAAGAAAGGGACGAGATGAATTCACATTGCTACGTGTCAAAATCTTATTATTGGTTGTTGTAGTGTTAAAAAAGCAAGGGACGAGATGAATAAATGGATTCAGCGATAGAAAAGCTCCCTCCGATCTCGGCGCCGAGAGAGAGAGAGAATGGATCAGATCTTGAACAAGGTTGGATCCTACTGGCTAGGCAAAAAAGCGAACAAGCAGATCGATTCCGTCGGTGACGATATCAACGTACGTGTCTCTCACTCTACTACTGCTATTATTACTTTCTATGATCACTCGTCGCGAGCGAATCATGATCTGATTGTATCTCGCTCCGATGCTCTTGAAAGAGAATGTTGATTCATCTTTCGTACCGTTTCTTGATCGATCTAGGGTTATGTAGATTCTCAGTTTGATCTTAATGATGGTGTACCTCGTTGAATCTTCACTTAGAAGCGCAATTTTGATTCATCTTCTGCATTTTCTATCGTATGTTTCATAGGATTGTTTAGGAATCGACTGTTTTTGTGGTAGTATTTGGTGAATTGCGGCGCAAGGAAGAAGATCTTAAAGAGTAGATGAGCAGTATAATGATAGAGATTTCTCATTTTTTGATGCTCAAAATTTGTGGCTTCTTGAAAACCAAACTCTTTTGGATCTCTCCAGAACAATGATCTGTTAGTAGTTCAATAATGAAATGTTGATCTCGACCGTTGATTCATCTTTTGTTACCGTGTTTTGATCGATCTAGGGTTATGTAGATTCTCAATTGATCTATGTTTGGTAAATGGTGGTTGAATCATCACATTGTGCTTCATTTTCTGTAGCATATTCATAGGATTGTATAAAAATCTACTGCGATTTCGAGGCCGTTTAGGGTAAGATTAGGTGAATTTGCGGCTTAGAAGGACGAAGAAGATCTTAAAGAGTAGATGAGTAGTAGAAACTTTTTCGATTTTCAGATCTTATATTCCTTTTTATGATACTGATAGTACAGTAGCATGTTAGCGACAGTGATTCTCATTAGGGATCCGTGTTAATGACAGTGATTCTCACTAGGGATCCGTTGTGATTCTCATTTTTGTGATTGCTTGCAAGTCAAGGCTCCTTGAAATTCTCTCAGAACATGCTCTGTTTATGAATTATTTAATTTCTTGCGTTATCTTTAACAATTTTTTTTTAAAATTCAGTCTCTGTCTGATAGCATCCAAGGAGGAACAAAATGGCTTGTGAACAAAATCAAAGGTGAGTCTTTTTCCTTCTCCCACGATCACATTCCTGCTCTGTTTCAATCCGACACTCATTAATGAGAGCTCAACAGGGAAAATGCAGAAGCCATTACCCGAGTTACTCAAGGAGTTTGGTTTGCCTATTGGGATCTTTCCACGCGATGCAACCAACTATGAGTTCAATGAACAGACGAGGAAACTAACCGTCTTCATCCCATCCATCTGCGAAGTTGGCTACAAAGATTCATCAGTTCTGAGGTTCACCACAACGGTTACAGGGTTTCTCGAGAAAGGAAAGCTTGCTGATGTTGAAGGGATCAAAACAAAAGTGATGATATGGGTTAAAGTCACAAGTATCTCAGCAGACTTATCAAAGATCCATTTCAACGCAGGGGTGAAGAAAAGCAGAAGCCGTGATGCTTATGAGGTTTTAAGAGATGGTGTTGAGATTGATAAATTCTAGCTCTGTTTTTTCTGGTAATTACCCAATTCTTTTATTCTCTTATGTCCTATGTTTCAAGCTTTATGTCTTTTAGAATCGTCTCTGTAGATTCAAACAACTTTGGTGTTCATGAATCTGATGAATTGAATTGGTTTTACCTTGAAAGATAAATATCAATATCTTTCTACATACCATTGACACATTTGAAGGAAACACAATAATGATAGATAATTCATAAATAGAAACAAAAGGTAAATTGGATAATGGAATAACAACACAAATACTGATGCAAAACAATAGCAACTGCAACAACAATTAAAAGAAAGAAGAGGATGTGACTCACAAGCCTTCCCCTTCTAGTAACAATACCATTTTGCCTTATTCACTGACCTGTCTCTTTTACTTATCTTTGCCCTTTGGTGCCTTGGCCTCAGTACCATCTGGAGAGTTAAGTTCCTCCCAAGCTTCAATCCAAGTGACCATTCCATCTGCAAGCCTGATGAAGTAAGGATCCACCTTCCCAAGCTTCTCTTTCACAAGCTTAGCCAACTCAATATAGCATTGCTGCACGGAAGTGCATCCACTAGGAAGAGTCACAGATTGAAAGAAAGGTATCGCCTCTTCTTGCCAAAAGATCCCATTGTATTCCTTCCTCAGGTTCACAAACGGGTTGCTGGCTTTGCTGTGCCATATGTAAGGCAAACCCGTCTTCACTCCCCATCCCATGTGGTCACATATCACCTACATGTATGGTCTAAATATGTAACCATTGCACAAAACTAATGAATAAGTGTTGCATCTGACCAACCTACCTTGACACACCAACCAGCCCACATGTCATCGTAGCGTCCTATTGGCTGCCCATCACCCATAAGTCCAAAATACATAGCTGGACCAATCAGCTCCCTATTGATGTTAGGAGTTTTCAAGGCTCCTAAGTCAAATGTTGTATAGTGGAAGTAAGTTGTCGAACCAGTTCTGAGGGAAGTAGAAGCGATGAGAATGCAAGTACTAACTTAATCTAAGTGCGATCGAATGTTTGGTTGGTTTTAAAGTGAACTAAAACTAAAATGTAAATAAACGATATGACTTTAACTATGAAGGTAAA